CAGCTAGCCCTCGCCACCAGCCCGCCCCCAGCCCGAGCCCCTCCGATGGGGGGACACAGCATGGCCGCAGCGTGGCTGGAGGAGTCAAGAGGGGGCGCGGCGCGGCTGGAGGAGCCAGTGGGGGGGGGGCGTGGAGCGGCTGGAGGAGCCAGTGGGGGGGGCACGGCACGGCCGGAGGAGGAGCCAAGGGGGGCATGGCCAGAGGAGGCGCCAAAGGGGTGTGTGTGCCTTTTTTAGGTTTGCTCCCCCTGCACTTAGGACCTGGCTACGCCACTGGTTGGCGTAGCTCTCACACGGCGCGGCTGGCCCCAGCACAGACAGGCTGAGCGCAGCAGGGACTGGCACCCTCCTGCCGGCACCAATGGCACTAGCACGGCTAGCAATGGGGGTGCAGACGTGGGGCTCCGGCCTGGGCTGGCAAGGCTGGTACAGCGACCCTGGCTGCACTGCGAGATCTCCAAGCCTGAAGGGACCGGTGTGGTCACCCGGGCAACGTCCACACTGAATTTGCAGCCCGGGCTCGGCCTGCTTCGCTGCAGGACAGATGTTCGGTGTGAGCTGGCGCCCGGGCTCTAGGACCCCGCGAGGTGGGACTGGCTGGAAACCCCTTGGTCCAGCCCCTCAGGTCAGTGCTGCCCACACGCAGGTGGCAGCGTGTGATGGGCCGACCCGGGGCGCTGCCAGGTGGGTGCTCTGCGCTCTGGCCCCGGCTGCCCTGTGAGGAGCAGGCGCTGCAGGAAGGCTGCGTCCCGTCGGCCCTGCCTGCGCAGCGGGCACCTGCTGGTTCCTGGGGAGCAGCTCCTGCCGGCTGCCCTCGGCTCCTGCGGACCCCGGCCCGGCCCCTGGAGCAAGGCTCCCCCAGGGCGGCCCCAGCCCCCACCCCCAGCCCCAGCAGCAGGGCCACGGCAAGGCCAGTCACTGAGTTTATTTCTCCAGTTCCTTCCCAGCTTGCCTGGGCTGTGTGGGCAACAGCTCAGAGGGGCCTGTCGGGGGAGGGGCTCTCCAACCAGGGGCACGGCTCGATGGCCCCCAGCACCGCGGGCCTCCATGGGGCACGGCTCGGTCTACCCCGGCGCCAGGGAGCGCCATGGGGTGCAGCTCAGTCACCCTGGGGACAGCCGTGGGGCAGGAATCAATCTCCGCCTGTGCTGGGGACAGCCGTGGGGCACAGCTCAGGCCCCCAGCACCACGTGCCAGCGGTTCCTTTGTTGAAGCTGCCCTGGGGGGCCAGTTCGATGGTTGCTGTGTGATGTGGCCTCCTGGAGCTCCCCCAAGAGCCACTGCTGGGCCAGCCCCACGGCCATTCACTATGGCAGTCGCAGAGGAGGGTGCGGTGTGGGGGAGGGCAGGCCGGGCGGAAAGCTGGGGGAGACCAGGCTGGGTGGAGGGCACAGAAAGCGGGGGCCAGCCCCACGGCCCTTCGCTATGGCAGTCGCAGAGGAGGGTGCGGCATGGGGGGGGGCAGGCCGGGCGGGAGACTGGGGGAGACCGGACTAGGGGGTGATGGGAGGGGCGCCGGACCCGGGGCCTCACAGCTTGTTCGCCTTCCAGGACAGGTAGGAATTCCAGACGACAGCCACCACCTGCACGACAGCCAGCCTGGGACAGAGGTGGGAGCCGGGTCAGCGACGGGCTGGGCCTGACGCACACATGGGCTGGGCCTGACGCACACTCTGCCCCTTGCTGGGCAGCCCCCAGGCCTCAGGCCAGGCTGCCTTGCAGCTCCCATTAGCCTGGGGTGGAGCTGGGCCCTGCGCACCCGGGGAGACGGTGAGGGGCCGGGGCTGGCCGGAGGCTCCTGGTCAGGCCCCTTCCTCCCTGGGCAGCAGCTGTCGCCCCAGCACGGGAAACCCCAAGCTGCACACCCCACTCGGTGTCCCGGCCCCCGCTGTCCCCTAGCACACAGCCTTCCTGGGCTGGGGCAAGTGTGGGCAGGGCGGGAGCAGGGCAGGTGGGGGCAGGGCAGGGGGGCAGATGGGAGCCATGGCACAGGAAGGGGGCAGGGTGGGGGGGCACTGGGGCACCCAAAGGGGGGGCAGGCGGGGAGCAGGGTGGGGGGTTGCTGGGGCACCCAAGGGGTGGGGGGCAGGTGGGGGTGGGGTCCCAGGGAGGTGGAGGCAGGGGGGCCAGGTGGGGGCAGGGCAGGGGAGCAGGCAGAGAGGGAGCAGGGCAGGGGGCAGGGTGGGGGGGCACTGGGGCACCCAAGGGGGTGGGGGGCAGGCAGGGGCAGGGCGGGGGCCTGACCTGTGGTTCAGGGGGATGAAGTAGAAGTTGGCAATCTGCACGGCTGGCCAGAGCTGAAAGAGAGAAGACAGGGCGTGGGGAGGGGCACCTTAGGAACTGCCGATGGAGACCCTGCAGCAGGGCTGCCAGCCGGATGTCTGGCCTCAGCCCCTCCCCCCAGCACACCCTCCAGCCCGCCCCCCGGCACTGGGGGCACCCACAGGGAGTGGGACACTTGGTAAGGAAAATTCCCCCAAATTCCTGGTGGGTAAATACGTAATGGGGGGAGGGGGAGCCCTGGGCAGACCCAGCCTCCCTGGCCCCATGGGAGACAGGGGGCGCCCTGGGCAGTCCCATGGGGCAGGAGCGCTGGCTGGCTGGTTGGCAAGGGCCTGGTGCAGGGGCCCCAGCAGGAGATGTTCTACCAGGGTGCGGGGCAGAGGGAAGGCCCCAGCCTACAGGGCCGGCCCTGGTGCGCCTGGGGAACCGGCTCACCGCGCCGGTGCAGCACCTGCACTTACATAATAGTTGGTGAGCAGCGCGTCCGGGTAATCCTGTAGGAGTGAACAAGGCCAGTTATTCGCAAGGCCGGCCCAGGCAGCCATCAGGGGACATGGGCTGGGCACGGCCCACTCCCCTGGCCTGGGCACGTGGGCTGGGCATGCCCCACTCCCCTGGCCTGGGCACGCGGGCTGGGCACGGCCCACTCCCCTGGCCTGGGCACGCGGGCTGGGCACGCCCCGACTCCCCTGGCCTGGGCACGCGGGCTGGGCACGCCCCACTCCCCTGGAGTGGGCACGCAGGCCGGGCACGCCCACTCCCCGGGCCTGGGCACGCGGGCTGGGCACGCCCCACTCCCCTGGCCTGGGCACGTGGGCTGGGCACGCCCCACTCCCCTGGCCTGGGCACGTGGGCTGGGCACGCCCACTCCCCTGGCCTGGTGCCCATGCTCTCTGGGGCGACCTTTGGCGCGGGCTCAAGGAGAAGCGATGGCTGTGGAGCTCGAAGCTGCTGATGTCATCCTGAGGGGGGGGGGGAGTTCCGCTGATGCTTTTCTGGCTGGACTTGAGTGTATTTTTGTCAGGCTATTTATATCCTGGCGTGCGGGCACGGATCAGCCTCCCACCCCCCGCCCCTCGCTGGGCCACGCCCGGCTCGCCCTGGCCCCACGCAGGCTCTGGAGCAGATCACCCAGTGTGTCCAGGAAGCCGTGTGCCACACCAGGGACCCGCCCAACACTAGCCAGCATCGGACTGTGCCCCGGCTGGGCACATCGGCTCAGCCCTGCCAGGCCAGCAGTCAAGGCTGGTGCCCACGGGAAGCCCTTCCAGGGAGCAGTTATGGTCGTGCCAGCCAGGGGGCCCACCAGCTCCCTGACACACACCGCAAAGCTTGCCCTCGCCCATGGCTACCAAAGACCGGACGTTTACATGGGCCCGACATGGCTGGAGTTCCCACCGAGCCGGGTGCTGTGGGGTGACGAACGGGGGGTGTTCTTAATGTTGTCCTGGACTCGCAGGCCTGTGTGCTCTCAGCTCCCCATGGTTTCCAGGAACAACCCCTAGTGTGAAATGGAGAGAGGCCCAGATGGGGCTCTGGCACCCCCAGCCCCAAGATGGACCTGACTTAGGGGTCCTGTTCTCTGTACCTACAAGCTCTGTTTTGGACTGTGTTCCTGTCGTCTAATAAACCTTCCATTTTACTGGCTTGTTGAGAGTCACGTCTGACTGCGGAGTTGTGGGGCAGGGCCCTCTGGCTTCCCCAGGACCCCGCCTGTGCGGACTCGCTGCGGGAAGCGCACGGTGTGAAACGGGGAGGCTGAATGCGCCAAGCTCAGACCCAGGAAGGTGGAAGCTGTGTAAGCTTCTTGCCCTGGAGACCCTATGCTCAGAGAGAGGAGGCTCCCCCGGAGTCCTGACTGGCTTTGTGGGGAGCAGTTCCAGAGCATCGCCCAGTGACTCCGTGACAACTGGTGGCAGCGGTGGGATGTGCTGCACCCCGTGGATGGTGCTTCTTGCAGTAAGTGACTGGGGAGCAGTAAAACGAAGGGGGATTGACGAGGACCAGGCATGCTGAAGGCTCAGGGAGGGGCCGTTTCGGGGGGCCGAGGAGCTACGCTTAACCCCTGTGACCAGTGAGAAGGACTGTTGCAGTAACAGGGTCCCCCTGGGGACTGCGGCGAGCAGTCTCAGGGGCAGAGAAGTCTGTGGCTTGACCCTGGGAGAGAAGTGGTGACCTGGAGAAGGGCTGGCACACTAGGGGTTGTTCCTGGAAACCATGGGGAGCTGAGAGCACACAGGCCTGCGAGTCCATGACAACATTGAGAACATCCCCACTTTGTCCCATGGGGCACAGCACGGCGTCAGTGAGGGGCAAGGGCGGGGTGATCCCTGGGGCAAGGGAGGCAGTTTAGGGATGGATCCCCCTGGCCAAGCCCCCTCTGCACCCAGGTGCGCCCACAGCACTGGGCAGGCGGCTGCTGAGGGAATGCGCCAGCCAGCAGGAGCAGGGGCTGCAGGCTCAGAGCTCGGCCGGGGAGCGCTGGGAGCGGAAAGGGGTCCCCCCCACCTCCCACCCACGGAGCTTGGCTCCCTCCAGGCCTCACTCAGCAGCCCCCCATCGCCTGCAGAGGAGGGATGGGGCTCTGTGTCCGGGACCCAGGGCAAGCAGCAGGCACGTGGCCTGGTGCCCCTGGAGCAGCAAGGAGCATTTGCTCCTGAAGGAGGAAGCAGCCCGGGCAGAGTCTCCGTGTGCCCTCAGGACTCGCTGCAGAGGGACTGGCAGAGGGGTGCCAGCTGCCCCCCTTGGCTCAGCCGAGAGCCGGAGCACGCTGCCTCGCTGGGGAAGCAGCCCCCCCCCCGGCCTGGCTGGCCCCGCTCCCATGTGGTGACTCACGGCGGGGACTGGGCTCGCCGGTGCCAGAGCCCGGGCTGCGCGCTGACTCACAGCCGGGGAGCGGCGCAGGGCGCTGGGGGAGGGCCGGGGCACCGGCTCGCCGGGTGAGTCACTCGGCACTTGCTGACTCAGCCGCTTGCGTTGGTCTCAGACCACGGTGTGGACGAGCCACCTGCTAACGGCTTTAGGGAGCTGCCAACGCAGACAGGTCCCCCCCCAGCCCCCAGCACCTGTGGCTAGCAGAGGATCATGGGGGTCCTGCTGGGCCCCTCCAGTAATGCCTCCTCCCCCCTGCTCTCCCCGCCCCCCAGCGACTCCCACCGGGCTCCCACCAGGCAGCCCCCCCCGCAGCTTGGGACAGGAAGTGGCGAGCACAAGCTGCAGTTCTCGGGGGCTGTATTGCCCCCAGCACGGCTCGGGACTCACCCGTCGGATCTTGGCCCAGCTCTCCTCGGCGGACAGGCCGTTGAGTGCCCCGGCGATGGCCAAGAAACAGCCCAGGAAGCAAGGTGCAAACCCCACCTAAAGGGAGCCAGGAGTGAGTGCCCTGCAGCCCCCCCCCGGCCAGCCCTCTGCACCCAGGCTGGGCCCACTCGATAACCTGGCCCTGCTGAGAACCCGGCCTGGCCAGGCCCTGGGCACAGGGGCTGGGGGGCTCTGGCCTGAGCTCTGGGGGCAGGAGGTGAGGGGCTGCACTCCTTTGCCCAAATGCAGCTCCTTGGAGGGCTCCAGCCCAGCCTCCCCCATCTCTGCTGCAGAACTGCCCTGGGAGACCCCAGCCCCAGCGCGCAATGCAGACGGGCTGCTCTGAGCATGGAACAACGCACGCTGGGACCCATTGTTCATGGGGCAGCCAAGGGGAAGGTTCCCACAGCAGGGCAGGGCAGGGGAGCCTGGCGGGGGGAACCCCCAGGCAGTGCTGGAGCCTGGGCATGTGCTACGTGGCCTGGAGCGCAGGCAGGCCGCAGCCCAGGAAATGCATGTGCAAATGCACATGGCTGCAAGGGCACAGATGTACCCCTCTCCCCATGGGCACCCATCTCCTGCACCCCACCTCCTGGGCACCCACCTGTCGCAGCCCCACCCCCCATTCCCTCTCGGGCACTCACCTCCCCCCAGCCCCCAACCTCATGTGCCTCCTCCCCATGCACCCACTTTCCTTAGTCCTCCCCCAGAAACGCTTCCTTTACAGACCTGATCCAGCGCCATCTTCTTCAACGCCACCATCCTGGTGTTTCCCGGAATAAGTCGATCCAGGAGCTGGTACCAGCCTCCTACCACAGGGCCCTGCGAGAGAAAGGGGGTCTGGCACTCTGTACCTCAAAGCAGCACCCTGGAACCCCCATATTCACTCTCGTCATATAATCGTATTTCATACAAAGCAGGCCATGTAAGGTATCATAGGAAAGGCCATGATCTGCTGAAACCCGCTGTTCTGTCCAAAGACATATATCGTTCGTGTGTGTGAAGTGACGAGATTTGCTGTATGGTTGTTACTGAACTATGCTGTCAGTTTGCTAGTGACAACACAGGAGGGGATCCCCACACAGGAAGGTGTTAAACACCCATTAATCAGCAAGGGACGTGTAGACAAGGGGTTTACAATGCTGAAAGAGGGTTGCCCAAGCATCACCCAATGGGGGACTGCTTAACTCTGTGAGGCAGCAAAACCCACCAGGACATGTCTGGGCTAATGTTTTCCAGGCACATGGACTGAGGGGATCCTGCCTCGGCCTTTCTCCTCCCCCACCTACGCTGGAAGCACCAGAACGCCGAGAAGACAAAGACTTCACCTGGTGCCAGGCTTCGGGGAAGCCTGTGTATCAAGAACTATAACATCCAGTGAAGTGAGAAAACTGATTTAGACTGTGTGCTCACCTCTTCTTTTCTCTGGTAACGATCTCTGACCTTTTGTGCCGACCACGTACAATCCCCGAACATCTGTCTGTAGCTAATAAACCTGGTTTAGATTTTACCTTAAACAGGGTGTTTTGCTGGAAGTGTTTAGGAAACCTCAGCTCAGGTTACAAGGCTGGTGTGTGTCCTCTCCACATGGAGGGATGGGCGGACCAGGTAATGTACTTACACCCATCAGGCTTCTGACCAGGGCAGGACAGTACAGCTCGGAGGTACAAGGCTCGGAGCTGGTGCCTGTCTCTGTGCGATTCGTGAGTGGCTCTGGGAGCATTCCTGGAATCTAGCTGGGTGTGGGGCTCCACATGCGGTTGTGCTCAGTGATCACAGCACCTGGAGGGGTTTGCGTCCTGTCACTAGCAAAGCATTGTGGGAGACAGCCCAGGCTGGAGAGTTAAGCGGGCAAAGCGCTACCCCAGTCCCAGGATCCTGTCACGGGGTCAGCCCAGGAGGGGCCTGCTGTGTCCCTGGAGCTCCGCCTCCTGGGCTCAGATGGGATTGCAGAAAGCACGGGTTCAAGGCATCGGCCATGCACTGGGCTACGTGCCCCACAGACAGACAGACAGACGGATGGGCCTTCCCTACACATGCTCCCTACAGCAGGGAAGAGGGCATGTCCTGGGCCAGCGCTCACTGATGGGCATCACAGAGCGCCCCACAGACAGAAAATGCCTCCCCTGCCCCTGCATTGGTGAGGCCTCATCTGGAGTACTGTGTCCAGTTTTGGGCCCAACACCACAAGAAGGATGCGGAAAATTGGAAAGAGTCCAGTGGAGGGCAACAAAAATGATTAGGGGTCTGGAGCACATGACTTATGAGGAGAAGCTGAGGGAACTGGGATTGTTTAGTCTCCAGAAGAGAAGAATGAGGGGGGATTTGATAGCAGCCTTCGACTACCTGAAAGGGGGTTCCAAAGAAGATGGAGCTCGGCTGTTCTCAGTGGTGGCAGATGACAGAACAAGGAGCAGTGGTCTCAAGTTGCAGTAGGGGAGGTCCAGGTTGGATATTAGGAAACACTTTTTTACTAGAAGGGTGGTGAAGCACTGGAATGGGTTACCTAGGGGAGGTGGTGGCATCTCCTTCCTTAGAGGTTTTTAAGGTCAGGCTTGACAAAGCCCTGGCTGGGATGATTTAGTTGGGGATTGGTCCTGCTTTGAGCAGGGGGTTGGACTAGATACCTCCTGAGGTCCCTTCCAACCCTGATCTTCTATGATTCTATGCAGGAGGGTCAGGCCATTCTGCTCTGGTCCTGAGGGGAAACTGAGGCACAGGGCATGGGGGAGGTTGTGCATGGCTACGCTGCAAGCAAGTGGCTGGGAATGGAGCCCTCTTCTCTCTCAGCACACGGCCCAGAGCCAATGTGGGGGAGGGGCTGGCAGGCGCTGAGAGCTCAGGCAGTGATCCGGAGGTGAGAGTGACAGGCCGGTATCGACCCTGGGGCCCAGTGCAGGTCCGCAGCCTGGCAGGAGATCTCCCAGGAGAGCCAGCAAAGTCTGGTTCAGCTGCAGGCACCGAGGAGACAATGCCCCCCGCGACGGCCAGGGAGGCACCCTGAGAACTCACACTGCAGCCAGAGCTCGGCACAGACCTCACCACACAGGCTGGGGGCCACCCAGTGCAGCCGGAGCACCAGAGGCATCTTCCCTCAGAACCAGCAGGGCGAGGAGGAACCCTGCGGAGAGTACTGGGCAATGGTGGCTGCGGCTGGTACAGATCCCTGGGGCTCTCGAAACAAACACGAACAGGAGAAACAGGGCTGGATGCCAGGGCGCAGAGGTCCTTTCGTCGGCTCCATCACTGCCTGCCTTGGGAGAGTCCCCGGCTTCTCTGGGCCTCAGTTTCCCCACCTGATCCTGACTGAGCTCCTGGCTGGGGAGCAGGGGAGCCTATGCAGTATGTTGAGCTCTCAGACGGAAGGCAAGGCCAGCACTGACCGTGAGAGGACAGTGCCCCCTGCCCCTCTCCCTGCAGCACAGCGCCCCCAGGGCCTTGGGGCCAGCACAGGCTGCAAGGGAGAGCCTCAGTTTCCCCTGTGTGC